AAATGCACCAATAATTTAAAGAATAATTTAATAAATTTTCTAAATCATAAAAAAATTGTATTATAATACTCATGGCAATGTTATAATTTTAGTAAATAAAAAATGAACATAAATAGTTATTGTTGTATTTGCTGGGAAACAAAAACTAAAAAGAGTCTTATTGCAGTCCAAGATACTATTGAAAAACTGGTGCAGACGTATGTATACTCTGGATACTGTCAGATCTTGAATTAACTGTGAAAAATTATTACAGTGTTCAGTCCATGCAATTTGAAGTTGGGGATAAAGAGGTTGATAGGAACCTGGTTTTTGTAAAAGATTCTTCAGATTTTGTTATGAACAAGTGAGAGAGGGTTAAATCCTTATAATACCATTGTACGAGTTTCAATTGATGAAGGTGGATGGAGGAGGTTCATTCAAAATATGTGTTAACATTTTTGATGCAGATGAACTTAAAGTTAACAGTAATAAAATAAAAAACAGAAGTAAACGTCGCGGATATGACAAATATATTGGGTCTGGTGTGCAACGTATACAGTTTATTGCTATTGCTGAAGATGTTCAAGAAACATATCAGAATATAAAACAAATTTTAGATATTATCCAGCTAGACAGCCTGGGTTTTCATATTGCATGGGATTTAAAGTTAGCTAACATAATTATGGGTTTATCTGGCCATGGTGGCATCCATGCATGTTTATATTGTGAAAGTGAGAAGACTATAAATGCAGGAACTCTAAGAACATTTGGAAGCCTTGATCTTCATCTTTCAGAGTATCAAGCAGCAGGAGAAAAAAAAGAAACAGCACAGCTGTATAAAAATGTTATACGAAAAAAAAAGAAACAGCACAGCTGTACAAAAATGTTATACGAAAAAAAAAGAAACAGCACAGCTGTACAAAAATGTTATACGAAAAAAAAAGAAACAGCACAGCTGTACAAAAATGTTATACGAAAAAAAAGAAACAGCACAGCTGTACAAAAATGTTATACGAAAAAGGCTTATTCATCTTGATGAAGATCCAGAAGGCAAGGTAATAAACAAAATTCCTCCATCATCATTACATATATTTATGGGTTTTATTAATGTTCTCAGCGACCTAGTTTTTACTCTCTGGCCAAACTTTAATCAGTGGCTGTCTGGAAAATACATTCTCAGACATGGTTATCATGAGGAGGGTTTGATTGAGTAAACTGTAACAAGATATTAAATAATCTTCAAGATCTAGAAGATGCGTTCCTAAATGATTGTCAACAGCTAATACCTATTATAACATGTTTCAAAGATTTAAAGTGTGTCTTGGATGACTGTTTTTGTGATTTCCTTAGTCCCAATGTCAAGCATTCTATTGCTAGATTGAAAGACTCATATAATTACCTAATAAACTTTTCAAAAGGCTATAATTACACCTTACCCATAACATGGAAGGTCCACATCATGTTAGCGCATATTGTTCCTTTTTGTGAAGAAAATCAATGTGGTTTAGCCAGATTTGCAGAACAAACTGGAGAAGCTATTCACTCTAAGTTTAAACCAGCTTGGACAAAATACAAAAGAAATGTAAGTCACAAAGACCATGGAAAGAACTTGCATAAGGCAGTTTCAGACTTCTCATTGAGACGAAGATAGTAACTTAAAGACAATATTAATTAACTTTATAAATACTATGCAGTAACTTAATTATATAAAGATCTGTAAAAGTATTTAGCTTTATATAAATTACAAAAAAAAAGACCGGATTTAGGTTCACTAAAATCAATCTTTGAAAAAAATAAAGATAAAAGATATATAAATTTAGCATAAAGTTATTAAAAAAATCAAATATATTTTTGGTGAATAAAGTTATCATATATTATCATTATTATTCGGGCAAGATGGAAGGGAGAGGGATGTAAATAAAAAATTTATATATATTTCTATCTTTTATGCTAGATTTATATTTTATATAAAAATTATGGCAAGTAGAGGGTCAAGGCCCCTCTGCCCTCTTATTAATAATAATTTCAATAGTATTTAAGACCCCCCCCCCAGTCTAAAAATGCACCCTTGGATTTTTAAAATGTTTAATTTTTAATATTCTAATAAATATCTATTTGATGGCATATTTTTTTTTAAGTTGGATAAAGTTCAACCTGAGGGTCGATTTATGACACAGTGTAGTAGGCAGAAATTTTGTTAAAGTCAAAATGTTAAAAAAAAAATGTTGAGGGTTTTTTGACTGTTAAGAAATTCAACCATAAACAATTGTCTCATTATTTAAAAATAAACATAAGATGAATGTTTTATAGAAAAAAAATATATAAGTATACATTTTTAAAATAAGGATTTTTTTTTTTTTTAAACAACATATTTAAATTCTATTTACAATTTTTTTTATAACAATATTATTTAATTTAAAGATATTTTATAAAAATAAAGACTTATAATGAATTTTAATGTGGTTTCAAATTGAACTTAATTACAATGTGGTACTTTAAAATATGAAACTGGCGTAATTAAACTTTTAACAATGTAAATATGTTTATTGAGTAAAGTTACATTTACTTGCGTTACGCTTTTTCTTTACAAAACAAAATCTCATAACAAGGATATATAAAACAAATATAACTTAAAAAAGACTAAAATGTATAGTAAAAATTGATTGTAAAATAAAATAAAACATAAAATGGTATGGGGTGTAAGAAGTTATTTGCTTTGGTATAAACATGTATTGTAAAAACATATGTACAAATATATACAATATGTGAAAAAATTGTCACCATGTTTGAACGAAGAAACATTTTATAGTTTTAATTTTTTTTCATTTTATTTTTATGTGGAGAGCTAATGGTAGCAATTTTGTCGCGAAGTAAAGCAATTGACCTAATCAACCACAATTAATTACTCATACAACAAAAATTAACAGCCTTATTACTAATATAATACTTATTGAGTCATTCAGAAAATGTTTCAGTTTGTCAAAAATTTTACTTATACTTCTTATGTTTATGTTGTTGCCATATTTTCATTAGTTTGAGTTCTTAAAATGCTGCAAAGTATTTACATTTAAATCTTTTAAAAAAATTTTGACGCAAAAACTGGTATCACAGTTTAGGAGGGGGTATATTTTACAGGTACAGGTATATTTTGTACAGATAAAAATAGACAAATATAGGACTTTTCTGTTCTGAAAGACACTGTCAAGCAGCTTGATAAGTTTTAATAGTCTGTTTAGATCTTTTAGTCAAAATTAAAATGTGCTAATTTAAAAACTAAGCATTGTTATTTAAAGCTTTAAATGTAAAAACGTAACATTTAATATTTTTTTGCGTATATTAAAAAATTTAAGATTTTAAACTAAATTTTAGAAAAAACAAAACTTAATCATGTTTTTGTTAACTTACATAACATGAAAAGTGCAAAAGTTTTTTTGTTATTTTCTTAAAATGTATAATTTCAAAAGTATAAAATATTATTAAAAAGTATATTTTATTATTTTTTTAATTATCTAGGAAATTTTATTAAAATGAATGGATTACACAGATCAACAAAAAGTTGTAAAGATATTTGGGTTTAAATCTTTAGTTTTGGGGTAAAATCCCTAATATTGTTAAAAAAAAAAATCTATTCAAAAGTATGACAACCTGGGTCTCAAAAGAAGTGTATTTTCATAGAGATTTTAGAAAACATAAGTTGTTAACCTGTGTTATACTTATCGATAAAGAAGAAAATATATAGTTCTTTAATTGTTTGCAAACCTATATTTTTATTTTATATATATATATATATATATATATATATATATATATATATATATATATATATATATATATATATATATATATATATATAAAATACAAACCTATATTTTTATTATATATATATATATATATATATATATATATATATATATATATATATATATATATATATATATATATATATATATATATATATATATATATGTATATATATATATATGTATATATGTGTATATATATATATATATATATATATATATATATATATATATATATATATATATATATATATATATAATATTTACATATATATGAAGTAATATATTAATTTATAATAATTTCTCTGTTTATATTTAAAATTTATTGAAAAAAACAAGATTCTGTTTTTAATGTAATCATTTTCACCTTAATTATTTTTACTTTTTCTTTCAAATGATTGTCGTTCGCAACAACTAGTAAAAACACTTTAAGTTTCTTCTACAGTCTGTTTTACTTTTTTCATTCTTCAGGAAGAATGTCTAAATATCAGAAAATTTAAATAAAAAAAGGAAAAGTATTTCACAAGAAGTTAAGAGTTGTTATAATTATTTTATAAAAACTGTTATGTCGTAACCAGGAAGTTTTATTAGCTACATTATATTATCCTCTGCACACCTAAGAAATATTTTTTCTATAATTTGAATCTTTTAATATTTAGACATTCTTCGTGATGAATCTGTTGAAGGTGAAATAAACTGTAGAAAATTCTTAGATAAATGGTTTTACTAATTTATTGTTGCTCTGTTCTTTAGAACATGGAGCACTTTATTTGTATAATACACTAACATAACTTATGTATATATACATATATACATAAATATAAATAGATTTGTGTGTGTAAATATATATACATATATATATATATATATGTGTGTGTGTGTGTGTGTGTGTGTGTGTGTGTGTGTGTGTGTGTGTGTGTGTGTGTGTGTGTATATATGTGTGTGTGTGTGTGTGTGTGTGTGATATATATATATATAAATATATATATATATATATAAATATATATATATATATAATATATATATATATATATATATATATATATATACATACATATATATATATATATATATATATATAATATATATATACATATACATGTATGTATGTATATATATATATATATATATATATATATATATATATATATATATATATATATATATATATATATATATATATATTTATATGTATATAAATGTTTGTGTGCTAATATTTAG